TGATACAAGTTTTTCTACCTGTTCTAGAGGCTCCCGGAGGGATTTATTTTGTCCAAGAAAAGTTTTCTTGACTTTCAAGCCATGTTCAGTGTTCTGTCAGCAGGAAAAATTATTGGAGGGTCACATATAGTCTGGAGTCCTCCCCAGGTTCAGAGCCGATTCAGTCAAGCCTTTGGTTTTTAGCTCAGCCATGTTCATTAAGTTTATAAGTTATTTAGCCATGACATAATTAGGATGGTGCTAGCTGTTGTTGCCATCCCCAGGTTAGCTCAGCAACAGGAAGGGGAGTGGGGAGCCTGGCATTAATAGCATCTTCTGGGCATGCTGCAGCTGTGGTGGTGGTTGAGCTGCAAAGCCCACACCTCCATCACCTGGGTAAAGCAGAAAGAAGAGGGCAGCTACCTGTGTGCTCGGTTCTGAGCTCAGGTTGTTTGAGGCAGTGGTGGCCCGCCTTGTGTTCCTAATCATCCTCCTCAACAATCTCCCTGCTGCAACTTCCCATGCCTGGCAGGTGGCGGCAGGGACTCAATGAAGCTCTCAGTCCTGTGCCACCAGCTCTACCTAGCACTGTGGCTTATGAAAGGGGCACAGAGTAACAGTGAGAACACACTGCCTGGTCTCTGTCTGGCCACCAGCACCTGTCCTCTGTCATTCTCGCGCACTCCTTAACTTTTATTTTTCCTGTGCTACACCTGGTATAAACCATTTCTCCAAGAGACTGTGTGTGGTTCTTTTCATTAAAGGAAGGAAAATCATTTTTCAGGCAATACGTATGTATGTATGTTACTGCTGGGGTTTCTTGCCTCTATACCTTTTCGGCAGACAGCTCTTAAATAAATATCCACACATACATATGTGTGTAGTTCATGTATTTATATGCATCTGTACTTTATGCCTGTTTCTACCTATCTATATTTATTTGAAAGCTATGAGTTCAGTTGGGCACTGTGACACACACCTGTAATCCCACTGGCTTGGCAGGCTAAGGTAGGAGGATTGCCAAGTTCAAGGGTGGCCTGTGCAACCTAGTAAGACCCTGTGTCTCAAAATAAGAGGGGCTGGGATTCAATCCCCCAGTGCCACAAAAAAAATTAAAAAAAAAAAAGCAAGCTGTGAATTCATAGTGACACTTCTTTTTAAATCCAATGCCATGGGACAGGATTTATTCTGGTCTTCTTTTCCTTATTTGTGTCTTTCTGTGACAGCAAGAAACCTGACTATCATTATCTACCATGTATTTCCTTACTTGATCAACCTTATACACATATAAGAAATGAACAAAGTCTTTTCTGAAGTGTTCATGCTGTATAGCATTCCTATCAGGAATTTATGAAAATTATAGATGTGTTGCACTTTTGGCAGTTCTTGGAGTTGCCTACACTTGTATTAAGTCATTCTAATTGCCTCTTGTCCTCTTCTTGGCTAACATCAAGTGTAAGTCATTCTAATACATAGGTACTGTTATCTCATTATGGTTTAGTTTGAGCTCCATGATTAGTGATATTGAGTATCTTTTCATATGCCTATCATCTGAATAATTCTTTTCATAAAGTGTCTATTCATATCTGTTACCCATTAACAATTGAGTTATTTTTTATTGAAAAGATGCATAATATCATTATTTCTTAGGAAAATGCAAAGTAACACCACACTCACAGCTTGCTTCCAAATTCCTGAAGGTGTACTTCTCTTTTTTCTTTTCCAAGTTGTTATTTTTCTGTGTCTGAATTCCATATCTCAGAGAGGGTGAATTTTGGTGCTGCTCACCACTGTGTCATCTTCATTCTCTAATTAATTGTATATTTCAAAATAGCTAGTACATAGAATTGTGAATATTCCCAGCACACACACACAAAACAAACAGTAAGCACTTAAATTTATAGATATTTTAATTATCCCAATCTGATCATTATCCTTTGTGTGCTTGGATGGACATATCATAGTATACCCCATAAATATGTACAAGTATGTACCAATTTAAAAAAATGAAGGAAATAATTCTACGTAGATTAAATACTTAAATTTGCTAATATTTATCAAAACTAAAATTTTAGGGAAGAAATATAAATAAGGATCTCTTAAATCTTTCAGCAGGGAAAGATTAAGACTCAAGGGAATTGTGCTCAGTGGAAAAAATGATAAATTTGGCTATAATAAAATTAAGAATTTTGACCCGTGCCTTAAATCATACAAGCTCTCAATGGGTAATGACTTAAACATTAGACTTGAAACTGTAAGACTGCTAGAAGAACATGTAAGAGAAAAGAATAATAAAAATGGTCTTCATAGTGATTTCTTGGATATGAGATCATAAAGCACAGCAAATGAACAAAAATAAACAAGTAGGATTACATCAAGGTAAAATGGTGTTGTAAAGCAAAGGAAACAAGTAAGTGAAAATGCAACTTAGGGAACAGGAGAAAATTTTTGAAAACTATATACTTTTTAAAGGGTTAATACCCAAAATATATAAAGAATTCAGATAACTTAGTAACAAATCAATTACTTGACTAAAGAGTGGGTAAAAGGTTTAAACAGACATATCTTAGAAGAAGCATGCAAAGGGCCAGCAGGTATCTGAAAAGATGTTCAACATTACTAATCATCACATGCAAATTAAAACTTCAATTAAATCATCTCACATCTGTTTAGAAAGCCATTATTTAAAAAATAAATAAACAAAATGTGTGCTGATAAGGAAGTTGTTATAGTTTGGATCTTGAATGTTCTCCAAAGATCCACATTAAAGCCTTGGCCACCAACCTTTGGCACTGTTAGGAGATTGTGGAACCTTTAGGATTTGGGGCCTAGTGGAAGAGATTTAGGTCATTGAGAATGTGCCATTGAAGGGAATATTGGAATTCCTGCTTCTTCTCTTTCATTTTGCATCCTGGATGTCCTGCTATGGACAGATTTCTTTTCCATGTGCTCCCACCATGATGTACTGTGCCACCACAAGCACAAAGCAGTGAATCCAAGTGACCATGGACTGAAACCTCTGAAACTGTGAGCCAAAATAAACTTTTCCTCCTCATAAGTTACAAGTGTTTTGTCATAGTGGTAACAGCTGACTAAAACAGACATGGAGGAATTGGAACACTTGTAAACTTATTGTGGGAATGTAAAATGGTATAGCTGCTATGGAAAACAGTATAAAGGTGCCTCTGAAAATTAAAAATTTTACTGTGTAATCCAGCAGTCCTACTTCTTATTTTGCGATTGTGAGGCAGGCGCGGTGCCACTGAGCTAAATCCCTGGCCCCCAGCAGTCCTACTTCTAAGTTTGCATTCAAAAGAACTGAAAATAGAATCTCAAAGAGATAATTTCACTGCCACATGCATTGCATTATTCTTAATAACCAAAAGGTAGAAACTGTCTTAAGTGTACAGTGATAGATAAGTGGATAAAGAAAATTATGTGTGTGCATGCATGTGTGCATGTGTGCATGCCTGTGTGTATGTGTGTCGGAATGTTTTCAGCCTTAAAGTAGGAAATACTGTTTGTCTGTTAGCTTGTTGATGAACTTGGAGCACATTATGTTAAGTGGAATAAGCCAGTTCTAAAAGTATTACATTGCATGATTCTAATTATGACATATTTAATGTAATTAAACTCATAGAAGCAGAAACCATAAGGGTGATTGCCAGGGCTTGGATGGAAAAGAAAATGGGCAGTTGTTGTTTAATAGGTATACAACTTTAAGTCACAGAAGATGAAAATATTCTAGATATTTTCAGTAGAAGAGGGTGTATACTTAAGAATTTTTTGTGGGATATTTCATGTTATATGACTTTAGCACCAAAAGAAAAGAACTCAAAACTTTGCATCATCAAAATATCCTTTTAAAAAAACAGAAAGACAGTTGACTAGAATAAGACACAGTTTCTACAAGCTAATGAAAATATGCAGAGATATTTAGCATCAGCGTAGATCAGGGGAAGATAAATCACGACTATAATGAAATAACATCTTACTTTCCATTGGGAAATATTAAGATTTTTGATACTACTAAGTAGATGTTGTTCTATCTTCTGCCTTACCCTCATCCTTTTACTAAAGCTTTTCCATTGATCTCTTGACTGAGTGGAGGTGTAACAAACCATTAAAACTAATTTAAGAATATAGAAGCAGAATAGTTAATAGAAAAAAGAAATTTCATGGGGAGTTGAGGGAGGATTTCTTTATCAAATGCTCTAAGAATTCAGGAAAGCCAAAAGAATAAATTTGTTACAGTGGTCTCTCCCACTGTACTGTGTGTTCTCTGAATAAGGGATAGTACCTGGCACATGGAAGAGTAGAAAAATGAAAAGAAGAAAGGTAAAGTAGGTTGACAAGGATGGAGAGTGTTTAAAGCAGTGGGAAAAAATGAGTTCTAAATAATACACTAAGGGGATCATTTCCCCTTTTTTGTTCATATACTCCTAAATATATTTTTATATTTTGCCTTTTTTCATGTTATTCTCCAGATAAATCAGGAAGGAGGTTCATGTTTCAAATCTCATAAGTAGATAAATGTTATGATTTTTAGGAGACTGTTGAGGCAGTTTCTCTAAAATAACATATAAATAACAACAAAAGACCAATAACTTTTTAAAAGTTACTTCTGAATTTCTGGCTTGTTTCCCTTACATTTTAAGTAATTCTGAGAAATAAATCAGGTTATTTTGTTTTTGTTTTTTCTTTAATTTCAGGTGAACATATTTAGGTTGCAGCTTTACTGGGATAGGTTTCAACATAAAGCACTCTTCAGGCTTTTAATTATTCCAGAGAAGTGTATCGGTACGCTAGTGTGTGCATGTTATTTTCCTACTTGAAAGAACTGTGTTCATATAGATGAATATTAGAAGAATATTCTTAGACTTGAAGAATCTGTGTACATTTCAGGAATTAAAATTCCTGTGAATTGAAAGTTAGATTTAAAGTTTTTATATACTCCTTTTAGACTTATCCCTTTCCTATGTGAAAAGGTGAGGCAATTAATTTTAATTTTTTCATTACAGGATTTCAGTTACTGATGTTACAAACAATAAAATATTGGAGCATAGAATTAAGGAAAAAACATAAACTAGGTAAGTACATAATGAAAATGCCAAGAAATAATAGATTATCATTTGTTTTTATAAAGGACATTATTGATATAACTGAAAAAACTAGAATATGAACTATATTTGGTCAAAATTGTTTCCTGAATTGCTAATTGTACTGTGTTTATATAAGAAAATATATTGAAGTATTTAGAGTGAAGGAGCATGATATATGAAATCTACTTTTTTTTTTTTGGTACCAGGGATCGAACTCAGGACCTTGAGCTTGTGAGGCAGTTGGGGTGCCACCGAGCTAAATCCCTGGCCCCTATGCAATCTACTTTCAAGGGCTCAGAGAAAAATGATAAGAAATAGGAAGTGTTTGGTAAACATGTGGATCAGTAGGAACACATATGTTGCCGGTGGAAGTATAAATTATTCTAATTTTTCTGGAAAGATTTTGTCAATTTTTATCAAGTTTTTACATAGTATGGCCCATCAATCTTTTTTTTTTCATTAAGTTTATTGGTACATTTTAGGTATGCAATACAGTTACATTCGTCATTGGGATCTTGTACCTTTTCATGAATATCTTGGTTCTTATTTTTTCCCCATTCCCCTGCCCTCCCTTCACCCCTTCCACCCTTCCCTATTTACAAAGACTTTTATTTCCATTTTTTTCCTTTTCTCATATTTTTTTCTTTTCCCTTCTTTCCCTTCCCATACGCCTTCCACTTCCCCTATTCCTTTAGACTTTTTCTTGCTGTTACACAATATCAATTATATATTTTGATCCTTATTTACACTTTTACTTTTTCTTTTTTTTTTTTTTTTCTTGTTTTTCTTTTGGTACCAGGGATCAAACTCGGGACCTTGCCCTTGCTAGGCAGGCAGCGGAACCACTGAGCTAAATCCCCGGCCCTAGTTTTTCAGTCTTAATTTCTCAGAGTAATTGTAGGAAGATTCAGAAAGATTTATGAATAAGGCTGTTATATCAAAATGTTTTACAGTTGAGAAATTGGCAACGACTTAAGTATCTAAAAGATGATACTGTTTAAATACAAATAGAATTAAACCTGTGCAAGCAAGCATTAAAAATAATATATATTGGCATAATGTCTATACTGTATATTCATAAGTATCAAAGCAGGCTACTAAACAAGAATGTATGATGTTAAACCTGTTTTTGTTTTTCAGGAAAGTGGCACGTACACAGGTACATGAATGTATGCTATGTTTGTTTAATGTATTTAGTTAAATACAATCTGTGACCACACACACACAAACATACACACACAAACGTGCACACACACTTATATGCATGTGTATACAAAGATATTTGGTAAGCTGATAACTTTTCCAGTGAGTATTTTTAGATTAGTGAGTTTACAGTGTAATTTTTATACAGTATTGTCTGAATTTTTATTCAGTATTTTCTGACTTAAAAAATATATGTTGTTTTTCTCATCAAATTTTTGTAAGATACTGCTTCTTATTAAGGTTCTGTGTTTTTATTTTATTTTATACCCATGCAACAACTTTTGCTATGCAATTAAAATAGTGCTATATTTAATGATATTCTACTAGATTACAGAAGGTATCTGAGTAGTATTCATGAGGCGTCTGAATTTATAGATTCTGTGACTGGTTGGTCAGCTACTTTCATTCTGTCACATGGTCAAAGTCTTGTTTCTTTAACTGTTTTTTAGCAGTCTTACAGATGTGTTGCTACCCACACAGCATAGCTGAAGTCCATTGCTACTTTTGAAAGATCAGATGATGTGTTCTGTTAATGACAGTTGTGTGGTTCCTCTGTCTGTAGAGCTTATGTATTTTCTTTTGATAGTGGGTGCTTTGATATAAATTCTGTTTGGTGTTTTTTCATAGTTTAACTTTTAGCAGTCAGTTGCCATTAAACTTTTTCATAACTTACTTTTACCAGGTTTTTCTTCATTTAGTTAAAAATATGGATCCTGAGTCAAAGGGCCTACACATGATCAGAGTGACACCTCTTCAGCAAATGCTTGCCTCTTGTACGGGAGCCATATTGACATCACTAATGGGTAAAACTTGTTGCTGATGTAGATTGTGTAACTTTGAATGAATCCGTGACTCCATTTTCGTTTTATTACATTTGGAGTAATGTTATCATTATTCATCATTATAATAATTGTCTGTTCGTCATTGTTGTGATAATATGGAAAGAACTCTTGACACAGAAAATCAAGAGTCTTGGGGACAATATTTACCTCTTAACTTCAATTTTTTCATCTAAAATTAGGGGTTTAGAACAGGAGTTCTTGCAAGTTCCTAGCAACATTAGACTTTTATAATTATGTTATCTCTTTTAAAATAGCAGTAAGATGGAATCAAATATTAACATAGTGAATAAAAAAGAATTTGGACAATAAATAACAGCAATAAAAATCAAATAATATTTTATTTTAATTGCATGAACAGTGCAAATCGGGAAATATAGTTGTGGATATATTATAAATGACAGATTAGTAACTGAGAGAAGTAATTACAGTCTGTCTTCACTGATCCTCTTTAAATACAATTCAAAGCAAAAAATCAAAATGTTACCTCTCAAGACTTCTTTAGGATAAATAGCTGTACCATTATAGAGCCATGAGTACAAGTGTGAAGCAATATATTTTGTGGTTTTTGAAAACACACAATTTACAAGTGTTGCATGCTAATTGAAACTTATGTATCTTCATAGTGACTCCCCTGGATGTTGTTAAAATTCGACTCCAAGCCCAGAACAACCTGTTCCCCAAAGGTATGTGTGCTAGGTATCCTGAAAATATTATGTTAGATTTTTTAAGTGTTACTGCATTCATTTTTATTCAAATAATACTTTTTGTTAATCTATTAAAATAGATACCTCATGCAGAAATATTTTTTATTCTTTAGTTGTTGTACATCATAAGGTATAGGCAGAAAAAGATACATACATAACACATATAATGCTTTATGGCTGTACTAATTAAAGCAGAGAAATATCGTATATTTGGTTTTATCCCTCTCAGATAAGAACACAGTTATACTTGTAAGGGACCTTGGAATCTAATTCCTAATTTTGTCCAAGAGTTCTTTCTATTCTGGAACATTCATGACAACTGTTCATCTGTTGCTTAAATCCAATAATTGGAAATTTAATATTTTATCAAGCAATTTGGTTAATTCCAATATTTTATGTAGAATCTGAGACAAGTAATTTTATATATTGTGTGTGTGTATTTTTGTGGATGGGTGTTTTTGAGACAGGATTTTGCTATGTAGTTCAGGCTGGCCTTGAACTCACTATGTAGCCCCAGCTGGCCTCGAACTCACAGTGATCCTCCTGGCTCAGCCTCCCCAGTATTGGGATTACAGGTGTGCAACACCACACCTGGCAAGTAATTATCTATGTTTATAAGATGGGCAAGAATAACCATTCCACAAGCAGTCTTCTAAAACTTCTATAAAGATAATGGTATTTCAAATGTACTTAAATAGCAGAAACCAGACTAGAGTAGGAGAAAATAGGCTCAGATAAAAATGCTTCCATATGGAATGCATAGCAGTAAGATGGAATGAAAACAGTTACTAAGTTACACATTAATAAAAGGATAGACAGAGTGTAGAAAAAGCCTAAAAAGGTGATTTCCTACATATTAAAGCCATAAAAGCAGAAAGAGATAGATGCATAGAATTATTTATTAGGAAACTTGACAGAGTAGACAATTTTGGCAGCAACAGTGAGCCTAGTGAGAGAAAAGTGGGCCAGGTGTAGTGGTGCACACCTGTAATCCCAGCACTCAGAAGGCTGAGGCAAGGGATAGTGAGTTCAAGGCCAACCTGGCTTACACTGAGACGCTTTATCTTAAAAACAAAATGAAAAGAAAGAGTTGACATTAGTGAAAGTTGTAGTAAGCTAGGTAGGGACTGACAGAGGGCTCAAATGAGCAGCACAGAAACTGAGGAAAGGACAAAGCATAGCATTGTTTACATTGGGAAGAACACTTACTGTTCATGATAGATTTTTTTGCCTGAATTTCTCTTGTGTACAAACACCTTTTTCTGGACAAGTACATAGAAAAGGCATGTATCTGTGTACTTTTTCCAAAACGATTTCCTCTTCTATTATACCTCTTTGTTCCCTAAGATAACCTAAAGGAATTTATTTCAGTGGGACAGGAATCAAGAGAGGAAAGGGGGAGGAGAGGGATTGTGAAGTGCTGTGTACATTCACCAAGTCCCTGTGAGGAACATGATCATAATATACTACTGTATTTTTAAAATGTACTATATGTGTGTGTATGTATGTATTTTGGAGAAGGGGTCCAAGAGATTCAGAGGGGGAGGGGGGAAAGGGAGGGGGAAAAAAAGAAGAAATACCATGTACATGTATCGACTCCCCACAGTGAAATGTAATCATTATGTACTACACTTGATCCTAGCCAAAAGGCTGAAAAGCAATCATTATGTACTACAAACATATACCATAAAAAATTAAAAGATAAATAAAAATGGAGGTGAAAGAAGAGAATTTTTTTCTGTGCACTGTTACTACTGTTCTGAAAACATAAAATCTCCTAATTTACTCCATTACTTTCCACAACTATGAGTGTGTAACCCAGTTTCATATCATTAAGCAAATTGAATTAATTATGTATGCTTCATCCTAGAAAGTAGACAAAGTTGTTTTTGTTTTGTTTTTGTTTTTTGGTACCAGGGATTGAACTTGGGACCTTGCACTTGCGAGGCAGGTGGTGGAACCACTGAGCTAAATCCCCGGCCCTGTTTTTCTTTTTTAAAGTTATTTTTATTCCATAATTTTCTAGTCTCCTAGTACTTTTGGTTTGTCTGAGAAAATAATAGTTAAGGGGAATAGTTAATGACTGTTGGAATCTTCTTTGGTAGGAAAATGTTTTGTGTATAGTAATGGACTCATGGATCATATGTGTGTCTGTGAAGAGGGGGGCAACAAAGCGTGGTTTAAGAAGCCAGGAAACTTCCAGGGAACACTGGTAAGGAGATTATATTATTTATAGTCATGATATATTTTCTTTTTTCTTTCTTTTTTTTTTTGGTACTGGGGATCGAACTTAGGTCCTTCGCTTTCAAGGCAGGCAGCAGAACCACTGAGCTAAATCCCTGGCCCCTTCATAATATATTTTCTGATTTTACTCTTATATATAAAAGAATTTCTAATTGCAGGAAGTCCATCATATTAAAGCAGGAAAAGAAAAGTACTTCTTCCCTTTTAAATTCTTTGTTAACTTTTATAGTTCAAGATTTTTATATAGGAAAAAAGAGGGATAGCTTTCTTTTGAAATTAAACTTTATTTTGGATAATTGTAGATCACATGTAATTTTAAGAAAATGGTACAGACAGGTCTGATGTACTCTTTTTCCAGTTTCCCCAGAGGTAATAAAATCTTTAAAAACAAGTAAAGATCACAACCAGGATACGGATGTTGATACAATTAAAATAAAGAATAGTTCTGTCAGTGTAAGGATTCTTCCCTTGTAGAGCAATACCAGTTTTCTTGTACTCTCATTCATTTCTTTCCTCTGGCATCCACTCAATTTATAAAATTTTGTCATTTTGACAGATTTGAGACATTTGTAGGAAAATGAATGCACCAGAAAATACAGTGTTGAGTGAAGTAAACGAGACACACAGGTATCTCTCATTTGAGTGAAGCAAAGCACAGACAAAGAATAATAAAGGATGGATAGGAGGGGAGAAGGGGACAGATCTCTTGTAACAGGGAAGTGGTCCAAGGGAACAAGGTTGAGGGATGAGGAGGAGGGAAAGAGAAATAAGTGGGATAAAGAAAAGCCATGTACAGGAACCTAATAACCTAAATGAATGTAAAGATCACGCGTCATAAACATGACCTAAGATTAGCAATATCAACAAGAATGAAAATTGGGATAGAGGAATTAGAGGAGAGGGGAGGGAAGGGGAAGGGGATTTACAAAAAGAAGCTGTGTCATGTACATGTGCCCACTCCCCAAGGTGACTGTAAACTGCATGTATTGCAAACATGTACTAAAAAACATTTTAAAAGTTTAAAAAAATATTTTGACATTTCAAAGCTGTTGCACAAATGGACTCATAACATATATAACCTTTAGGGGTTGGCATTTGTCCCTTAGCATATTATCTGGAGGTTATTCCAGGTTGTTGCATGTTTAAGTCATTTGTTCCTGTTTATTGCTCAGTAGTATTCCATGGTATGGATGTACCAATTGGTTTTTAGGGTTGTTTCCAGTTTTTAGCTGTTAGAAATAAAGCTGCTGCAAACATTTATTTACAGTTTGTGTGTGCGTGGTGTGTGTGTGTGTGTGTGTGTGTGTGTGTGTATGTGTATGTCTTCATTCCTCCAGATACATGCCCAAGTGTGTATTTTCTGACTGCATATAGTAGTTGTATATTGAGAATTTAAGAAATTGCTAGCCTGTTTTCTAACATGGCTGTACCATTTTGTATTTCCATCAGCGCTGTACAAAGGATCTAGTTTTCCAGCATTTTCACTAGCATTTGGTGTTGCCACTTTTAGCAGTTATGGCTGTATAGTGTGATGGCTGGGAACTGCCTGGGGAATTAGCAAAGCACACTTCTGGATGTGTCTAGGTGGGTCGTGGAGGCGTGCTGCCCTTGTGCCATGATGTTTCTGCCTGAGAGCTGGGTGACCATGGACTGGATCCTCTGAAACTGTGACCAAGTTAAAAGCCTCTCCTTTAAGTTTGAATGTCTGATATTGTGTACCAGCAACTAGAAAGATGATTGATACATATACTATCTTACTGCAGCTTTAATTTGCATTTCTCTGGTGGCTAATTAGGTTGAACATCTCATATTTATATTTGCCATCATATCCTCTTCAATAAAATGGCTCTTCAGTTTTGTTTTGGGTTTTTTTGCTCATTTTCTAGGTAAATTGTTAGCATTTTAAAAATGTATTGTAGGTACTAGTCCTTTGTTGAGTGTGCGGTATGCAAATATTTTTCTTCTCATATTCTAACTTGTCTTTTCTTGGTCTTTCTAGGAGTGAAAATTTCAAATTTTGATGAAATACAGTATCAGTTTTTCCTTTTATAGATCATACTTTTGGTGTCTATTCTAAGAACATTCTACCTACTTTTAAACTCTGAGATTGTCTGCTGTTTTCCTTTGATAATTTTATAGCTTTATGTTACATTTAAGTCCTTGATCCATTTGACTTATTTCTGTATAAGGTATGAGACTGAGGTTGAGATTTATTTCTTCTTGTGACTGCCCATGGATGTTCAGCTGCATTTGTTGAAAAGATTACCTTTCCCCCATTATTTTGGTTCTTTTTTTTAACCTTTATCAAGAACAGTTGGACATACTTGGGTATATGTATTTCTTAGTTCTCTGTTCTATTTCATTTATCTATACGTCTGTCACTCTATCCAGACCACACAGTCTTAATTCCTATAGTTGTGTTATAACTTGAAATCAGGTGAACTGATTGCTGCCACTTTATTCTTGTGTGTTTTTTGTGGTGCTGGGGATGAACACAGGGCTTCATGCATACCAAGCAAGTACAATACTGGGGAGCTACATCCCAGCCCTTCCACTTTATTCCTATACAGCGTTTCTTCTTCATAGTTGTTTTAGCCATCCCAAAGTTCCTTTACCTGTCCATAAATTTTTTATTTATTTATTTTTATTTTTTTGGTACCGGGGATTGAAACTCAGCTCCTTGCATTTGTGGGACAGGCAATGAAACCACTGAGCTAAATCCCTGGCCCTACCTGTCCATAAATTTTAGCATAATCTTTTAAATATATATATACATGTAAAATCTTGCTATGATTTTTGTAGGAATTATATTAAGCCTGTATATTATTTTAGGGAGAAATGACATCCTTACTGTACTGAGTCTTCCAGTGCATTTTTAAGATTTCCATATCTTTGTAATTGAAGTGAATTTTTATAGACAGTGTATACTTAAGTAATGCTTTAAATTTATCGTTTTCATCTTTTCATGGACTAATTACATTAATGCAGTTATAGATGTTAGAGCTTATCTGCCATTTATTTCCTGTTAATTCTGTTTGATGTTTCTGTTGTTTTTCCTGCCATCCTCTATTTCCATTTTGATCTGTAGCATTTTTGCAGATGGGGCATTCTACTTTTTCTTTTGTTTGCTGAGGAATACTTCATTTTCATTTGTTTAAAACATGTTCATAAGTGATTATTAAATGTTTTTTATGTTGACTGCTTGAAATCTTCATCAGAGGATTCCAACATCCCCCTTAGCTTAGGTATTTATTTATTATCCCTCTTCATTTAGTTTAACATCTTCCTAGTTCTTAGAATGGTGGTTTTAAAAATTAGAACATAGACATTTTCCCCCACAGCACCACTACCAGCATTTGTTGTTGGTTGATTTCTTGATTATAACCATTCTTTCTGGAGTAAAATGGAATCTCAGCGTTGTTTTAATTTGTATCTCTCAAATGACCAGTGATGGTGTACATTTTTTCATATATTTATTTGCTGTTTATACCTCTTCATCTAGAGAAGTGTGTATTCATTTCCAATGCCCATTTTTGGATTGGGTCTTTATATTTGGGTCTTCATATTAAATCAATATATATGATTTTTTTCAGTTCTTTATATATTCTAGATATTCTAGTCCTTTGTCTGAGGAACAGCTGGCAAAATTTTTTTCCCCCACTCTGTGGGTTGTCTCTCCACTCTGTTGGTGATTTCTTTTGCTGTGCAAAAGCTTTTTAATAAAATGAAACCCTAGTTGTTGATTATTTGTGATATTTCCTGTGTGATCATGGTTTTGTTCATAAAGTCTTTGCCTACACCTGTGTCTTCAAGAGTTCTACCTATTCTCTGTTCCAAAAGATTTAATGTTTCTGTTTTAATATTTAGATCTTTGATCCATTTTGATTTTAGTTTAGTGCATAGTGAGAGATATGGGTCTAGTTTTAATATTCGGTATGTGGAAAGCCATGCACCATTTAGCACGATTTGTTAAAGAGGCTTTCTTCCAGCGAAGGTGTTTGGCTCTTTTGTCAAAGATAAGGTGGCTGAGTGTGTCTGGAGTTGTTTCTGCATCTTCTAATCTGTTACATTGATCCTTGGGTGTATTATTTTTTGCCAGTAACATGCTGTTTGTAGACTGGTGCAACCACTGTGGAAATCAGTGTGGAGATTCCTCAAAAAACTAAAACTAGTGGTTCCATTTGACCCAGCCATTCCCCTTCTTCCTATCTTCCTGAAAGAATTAAAAGCATCATACCACAGCGATACATGCATACCCATGTTTATAGCAGCACAGTTTGTAATAGCTAAATCTTGGAAAAAGCTCAAATGCCCACCAACCGATTAACAGATAAAAAAGATGTGGTTTTTTTATACAGTGGAGTACTACTCAGCCATAAATAAGGATAAACTTGAGACATTTCTAGCTAAATGGATGCACCTTGAGACCACACTCTTAAATGAAATAAGTCGGATACACATGTATAAATATTGCATTGTTTCTATGGTGTGAGAAACCAAAAGTATAAATAAGGACCAAAATGTATAATAGATATTATGAAATAGGAAGAAAATATTCAAATGGGAATGGAAACAGGGGAGAGGGAGGGGGAAAGGAAAGAAGGAGAAAAAAGAGAAAATGAGAAAAGAAGGAAAAAATGGAAATAAAGGTTTTGTAAGTAAGGAGGGAAAGAGGGGTTGAAGGGAGGGAAGGGGAATGTGAAAAAAAAGAATCAAGATATATCATGTACAGGTACAAATTCCCTATGATGAATGTGATCATTATGTATATCTAAAATGTACCAATAAACTTAATTAATTTTAAAAACCTGAACATTTTCAGTGTTTTGTGATTAAACTCTAAATCTTATTTAAACATTTTATTAAACTGGCTGTCTGATACTATTTCCACAGGGGAATAGGAGAGGCTTCTGCCTCGTTACTGCTGGGTAGAGTTAAAAATCTAGCTTCCCCACAGCCTCCACTGGCACACAGTTCACTGTTGCACATGGCCGGGATCTTTAGCTTTCTATGTGGTTTCCACCGATTTGTGGTGGGGTGACCTCATTACTGCTGGATGATACCAAAAGTCCTGACTCTCCACTTTTCCTCCCCTGACACTACTCTCATATGGGGAAAGGGGGAGAGCTTATTATTGATCAAGTGGTGATAAAAGTTTCAGCTCCCTGTTGACTTTCAGTGAGACCACCTGCTGGAGGTGTCACAGTGTCCTATTGCAGTCTTAGAAAGGTAGACGTCTGGGCTTCTACCTTGGTCTTTGCTGGTGTGGATGTGGGTACTATCACAATTTTTGGTCATATTTGGCTAAAATAGAACAGTCATTGTCTTAAGTTTTCTATCTTATTAAGCTTCCCCTTTACTGGGAAAACTTGCAGTCATTTGTGACTGGCTTCTTGCTACAATGTTTTAAGACTCATCAGTGTTGTAGCATGTGTCAGTATTTTATTTTTCTAATTACCATTTTGTGAATACACTATATTTTACTTATCCATTCATCATTTGATGGATATTTGCGTTATTTCTACTTTTGGGAATGAATAGTGGTGCTAAGAACACTCACATTTTTGTGTGAACATGTGTTTTAATGTCTCTGGAATATATGTCTAGAGTTGAAATTGAAATTGTTGGGTCATATGGCACCTCTCTAACCATTTTAGAAACTACCAGACTGTTTTCTAAAATGGCCCACACTGTTTTACATCCCCATCTTTAATATATGAGGGCTTCCCTTTCTCCATGTTCTTGATTGTACGTGTTATTCCCTGTCACCTTTTGTTCATTCCTTCCCCTTTCTTTGTGAGGTGGGGGTCTTTCTATTGCCCGGGGTGTCCTTGAACTCAGCATCCTTCTGTTTTACTCTCCCAAAAGGCTGAGATTATAGGCGTGTACTCCTGTGCCTATTTTACCTGTCTTTTTAAATTTTGGCCTACCTGATGGGTATGAAGTGTAACTTATTATGGCCTTGCTTTGCAGTTCCATAATGATCGATCGTGTTGAACATTTTTTTATGTGTTTATTCACTGTGTATCTTTTTGGAGGAATGTTTGTCCTAATCTTATGTCAATATTAAGTATATTATTATTAACGTGTGAGAGTTTGTTAACAACAGACAAGCTTCTGCCTGCTTTTGATTCTCTCCAGAATTTCACAAAATGGGCTTTAGTGATATTTTCTTAGAATTTGTACTTGGTCAGGAGAATTTATCTGATCAGTTCTCTGATACTGTCCTACTTCCTTTTCTACAGTGATCTTTCAAAACCTTTATTTCTAAGCCCTAAGTAGAATAATCCAGAATTGAGTAATATATAATTTATTCTATAAGAAGTATTGTTCAGAAATGCTTCCTTTTACGTGTGTTAAGATTCTTAATTTTTGAAAGAATGGACATACATAAATCCAAGAAGCTCATATTTTAGAAATAAATGCTTGAGAGAGTCAAATTACCAGTTATTTATCACTAAATTTTTTATATCAGGTTTAGGGCTATATTTTGATTATTTTTTTCTATAATAATTTTAGGATGCCTTTTTAAAAATCATTCGAAATGAGGGCATTAAGTCCCTGTGGAGTGGCCTTCCTCCTACTCTGTAAGTTGAAATTTAAATTTTTTTCCACTAAGTGATGATTGTTTTGTATTGCAGTGAGCATAATTGGAGAAAGTCATGCATTTTAAACATTAGAACTCTGATATTCTGAAGCATTGTTTTGTGAGTCTCACAGCTACCCACACATTTGATGATGTGCTAGGACTCACAGGACCTAAGAAGGGTTATACTCATGAGTATGGTTTATTACAGCTCAGTGATACAAAGCAGGATTGGTAAGGGAAAAACACATCAGGAGTTGACCACAGGATATGCCTGTTCTTTCTGCAGCTAATTGAGAAGTGTTTTTACCATGGGAAACCCACTGGAGTGTCCCAAGTTAACTCAATCAGGTGTGATTAGACAAACTTCAGACCTCAAAAAGGAAAGTAGATGCTTATCATAAATCACCTTGTGTGCACAAAGCAACCTAGACCACTTGGTTTAGTGCTTCAGATATATAGAAGGCATTATCATAGGGAAAGTCCATTGACTGAATTCTAGTGAGTTGGCAGAAGGTTAGCAGGCACATGGGCCTCCCTGAATATATCATGGAAGATTTAAGTAACCAGGCCTGCTGTATTAAGTCTTTGCTGCATAAACATATTTTTTCATGTTTAGAATTAAAGAACTTGGTGTTCATTTGACTTTTTATTTTACTAAAACAGTAAAGTATATTGTAGTACATATACAAGTAAGACTGAATGTAAAAATTCCAAATACCTTGGCTCTGCTGTCTCTGTTATTTCTGAGCACTTACCTTGTCTTTTGTTTGGAGGAAGTTAATCAGTTTTTTGTTTTTGGGGGGTTTTTTTGGTACCAGGAATCAAACTTGGGTCCTTGTGCTTGCGAGGCGGCAGCAGAACCACTGAGCTAAATCCCTGGCCCAGAAGTTAATCAGTTTTAAGGCATATATTTTAGTACCTAAGATTTTTAAGTTAGTGGATATCCAAGACTACCATTTATCCTTCACTACATTCATTTCTTCTCCTGAATATCCTGTGTCAATCTTCACTATAGAATATTAAGCATTCCAAACTATGGTCTGCAGATACCCTGTAGTTAGACCAGAAACATAAACTGGCTTCTTCTTGCATTGATATTGCTGACATGCCAATGCCTGCAGCTTTGTATATTCTTTTACTTAATAACCCCTTTTGATATTTTCATCTAAGAGAGTATGTTATTAGTATCCCCTCAAGTCTAGTGTGTAAAATTCTGGCAATGTTAATTGAACTTTATTTCCAATTATAAGCAGGTATGATATGTGATATGTAGTTGAAAAATGTTTTACAATTAGTTGCTCATTAACTTTTTATTGCAGCAATTCTCATGTTATAATAAACATTAACTGGGAGGGCAGATGTGGAAGACTAGAAACAGATTGAAAAGTGAAGGAGATAGAGAAGTGTCCTAATTTGTGTGTGTGTGTGTGTGTAACACTATAGATTATATAATTCATGTGATATGAGTTTGGTTATATAGCACTTATTTAATGTTAAATATAACTTACATTTTTTTCCTTTGTTGCTTTATAGTGTAACTTCACAACTAGAACTTAAACTTTTGGACGGCAGATACTTTTTTGTATCTTTTTGCTGATTACTATGTTACTAATACTTTTTTTAAAGTAAAAGAAAAATTTGTTGTGGTTTTTAGCCTACACAAAATAAAAGTTTTTTTAACATATATCATGATATTGATTTTAATTTACTAGTGTGTTTGACACCTTTGGATAATTCTGAGAAATCTTTTTGTCTGTGTGTTCCTACAGAGTGATGGCAGTTCCTGCCACTGTTATTTATTTTACCTGCTATGATCAATTAACTACTGTTCTGAGATCCAAATTAGGAGAAAATGAAACTCGAATACCAATTATTGCTGGAATTATGGCCAGATGTAAGTAATAAATTTTTATTTTCATTTTGATTTCTGTTTAGGACATCTATTTAAATTTTGACATTCAGACAGAATTTATATAATGTATATAATATCAATAAGGCATATTTTGCATACTAATTTGTACTAATTTCTTAATATTTTTTCTCTGGAAGTGACTTGGCATGTTGATTGTCATTAGCATAAGATGAGATTAGCCCATTTTGGTTGAATCTTGGACAGTTTTAATTTATTAATTAATTTATTTATTTAAACAGGACCATCATATGTAATCCAAGACGGCCTTAAAATTACTGTGTTGCCCTGGGACAAGGATTTAGCTCAGTGGTGCTGCTGCCTGCCCCGCAAGCACAAGGTCCCGAGTTCGATCCCCAGTACCAAAAAAAAAAAAATCACTGTGTTGCCCAGATTAGCCTCAAACTTGAGGTCCTTATATCTCAGCCTCCTGAGTGTTAGGATTATAAGCACGTGCCACCATGTCTATCTTGGACAGTTTTTACTTTCTTTTGCAGTAAAGAGAATTGGACCCCAGGACCTTTTCACTGAGCTACAATCCAGCCCTTCTCTTATTTTTAAGACAGGGTCTTCCTAAATAGCTACTTTACCCAGGCTTGGCTCAAACTTGTGATCCTCCTGCCTCAGCCTTCCAGAGTGTTGGGACTACAGGTATATGCCACCATGCCCAGCTTTTTAGATTAACATCAGAATTGGTTCTTACTCACCTAAACTTCAAGGCTGTCATCTGGGCCTATACATGATTCAGGCCAGTCTTGAATCATTTTCCTTATAAACTTTAGGATTCAAAGCTTAGTCAGAAGAGAGTTTGCCTCTACTCAGAAGAACATATTTCTCTGTGAAAAAGGACTCTGGTTTATTGGAGGCACTAACTAGAGTGAGTTTTTGTAATGGTTCTAGTTGACTACAACATTTCTGGGACCCCCTCTGAAAGACTTGAAACCAAGAAAAGATATATGAAAACAGACTTAAGAAATACATTTTTCAAGAGAAAAAGGTTTTGCCAATATGTCCACAGATTCGATACTTGATTTTAAGATTTACAGATATTTCAGAATAAAAGGAAAAGTATAAAATATGTGTGATACTGATTTTTTTTTTTTTTTTTGGTACTGGGGATCGAACTCAGGTCCTTGTGCTTGCGCAGCAGGCGGCGAAACCACTGAGCTAAATCTCCAGCCCTGCGATACTGATTTTTACATATGTGTTTACATAATACATGGCTTTCTCATATTTTCTTTCATCTGATTATTTGTATCAGTTGGTGCAGTAACTGTGATAAGTCCATTAGAATTGATTAGAACCAAGATGCAGTCTAAGAAGTTTTCTTACAAGGAACTACATCAATTTGTCAGCAAGAAAGTATCAGAAGATGGCTGGATTTCCCTTTGGAAGGGCTGGGCTCCTACTGTTCTTAGAGATGTGCCTTTCTCAGGTAGGATTTGTCTTATTATTATTTGCTAAATTTTATGTAGCTTTGTCTTATTCATATATTACTTTCGTTAGGTTTTAAACCCTTTATGGTTAAAGGTAAGTTATTTTCTGCAGTAGCCACAAATGCCTAGTTCATGGTTTGGGCATTCTGATTTTCACAAGCCTTTATTGAATGAATAGTTTCTCATTCAGGCCTGATTTTCTTTTTTGCTTGCATTTAATTTCCTTTTAAACATTGATTTGATGGGCATTCATATCCTAAATGTCATAATCTGTAACGTAAATAAACTGCTATAAATCAAAATATATTAAATCCATTTAAAAACCACCTTTGATTTGGACTCCTACTTTTTCAGTTAAAATAAACATCACCTCATTAAGTGAGTATCCTTTGAGACTATTACAAATCAGATAGGTGCTTATGTTCGGTTATGTTGTTAAGAAACATAAATGTGTAATTAATCATAGATTCCCATGCCAATTATGTTTTATTCTTAATTATATATTTAGCATATAAAAAGTGGCACAGGTTTAAATTATGAAGTATAAAATGAACACCTGTGGACTCACCACTTCAATCTATAAGCTTGAATGTAACAGCTTTTTAAATCAGAAAGCCATGTATATGCTCTTTTGGGCTTACATTCTGAGTGATATCCAACATACTGAATTTTTTTTTGTCATCTGTTTGATTTTTTAAAAATTATTTTTCTATGGATTATTTAGTTTTACCTGGTTTCTTTTTTTTTTTTTTGGTACTGGGGATCGAACTCAGGTCCTTGTGCTTGCGGAGCAGGCGGCAAAATCACTGAGCTAAATCCCCGGCCCAGTTTTACTTGTTTTGAGCTTTAAAAAAATCTTTTCACTCAAAATTTTTTCTGGGATTCATTCTATGTTTGATGCACTATTTGATTTTGTGATGGTGAATTCAAATTACTTTCATAATTTAAAAAAGTTTTTGTTTTTTTTTTTTTTTTTGGTACGGGGATTGAACTTAGGACTTTGCACTTGTTCAGAAGGTGACAGAACCACTGAGCTAAATCCCTGGCCCTTGATTCATTTTTAATTGTGTTTATGTATGAGTAACAGTGCTGCTATAAACTTTTTTTTTCTTGTACCGGGGACTGAACTCAGGACCTTGCACTTGCTAGGCAGGTGTGGTACCACTGAGCTAAATCCCTGACCTACAAACATTTCTTTAAACGGTCTCTTTGTACACCTGTGCAACAGTTTTCCAGTGTTAGACTTACTGAATGGTATAAATCCCATTCACAGTATACATTTCTAATTTTACTAGGAAATATAAACTCTTTTCTAAGGTGATTATATGGATCTCTCTACCTGCCAGCAGTATATGAGATTTCCTGTTGCTTTACACCTTTACCAGGTCTTTTATTGTCAGATTTCTTAAATCTCTTCTGGTAATTCAAAGTAACATCTCACTTTAATTTATATTAATTTCCTCAATTCTTTATAAGATTGGCACTGTTTCATTAGCTATTCAGTTATTTACAGTTTCTTTGAGGATAGAGACTAAAGCAGACCTTCAGGCTCGCCCCCCCCCTCCATGTGGATAGTTCATTGAGCATCGTTAATTGAATAACTACAGTTTCTGAAAAGATCCGCAATGTCACCTCTGTCATATCAGATTTTCATGTATGCACAGATCTGTTTCACTGGTTAATTTATCTAAATCTGTGCCAATACCACAGCCTAAAGTCCTAGTGCTTTATTAAAAATCTTAACATTACCTTATTTTTTCTTCTCTAGGAATGATGTATCTGTTTAGTCTAATAAATCATATTTAAAGTGTTTCAGTAGAGATTTCAATTTTTCTTCAAAAAGATTAAATTCATCTTCTTTGAGATTTATTAAAGATATCCCCCACCCTCCCACTTTGGTAGCATTAGTTTATTTTTGTGGCTAGGAATTGAAACCAAACCCTTGTGCATGCTTAGGCACTGACCTACATGCCCAGCCTTTATGTTTTGTAAATCTTTATAGTTGATGTGGTTGCAACTGATTTTACCTTTTGAGTCTTTGTGTAGATAATATATGTAATAGTAACATGCCTTTTTTAGAAATTTTTAATCATCATAGCTTCTCTTTCTTCCTACCTAGGACAGTTTTAAACAATAGGGATAACAGCGAACATCCTGTCATTTTTTACAGTGTTAGAGAAGTAGTTCTGTTGTTTCAACATTAGTAATTATTCTTGCCACAGGGTTCTGATGCATACCCTTTACCAAGTTAAGAAGTTTCCCTTTTTGTTTTGTTTTGCTTTTGGGGGGATACAACTCAGGACCTTGCTCTTGCAAGGCAGGTGCCAGAAGGAAGTTTCCCTTTTATCTCTAGATTTTCAAGAGATTTGTTTGCCTTAAGTGTTGAACTTTTTTTTTTTTGTACTGGGGATCGAACTCAGGACCTTGCGCTTGTGAGGCAGGCGTGGTGCCATTGAGCCAAATCCCTGGCCCAAGTGTTGAACTTTTTTTTGGTACCGGGGATCAAATTCGGGTCCTTGCGCTTGCGCAGCAGCCGGCGAAACCACTGAGCTAAATCCCTGGCCCACCAAGTGTTGAACTTTATCAGATGCTTTTTTCATCATTAGGTTATTTCCTGTTTGGTTAATGTGGTATATTACATTTTATTATATTAACTGTCTTCACTTTTTGCTTCAGTTTGCTGATTTTTTAAAGACTTTTTATCTGTATTCATCTGTAGATGGGGCTTTACTTTTCCTTTCTCCTAAGTGTCCCTGTCAGGTTTTGGAATTACAGTCCTCCTATTACAGTGATGCACAGGGGAGTTTTTGTGTTTATAAGATTGCTAGGCTAAGCAGAAAGCAAGATGTGTTAAGGTTCTCTTTTCCTTTGATTTATAACTGTATCTTTTCTTTAAATGCCACATTGTATTTCCAAATAAGTGCTCATTTCATTCTCTGTTTTTATAGCAATGTACTGGTATAACTATGAAATTTTAAAGAAGTGGTTATGTGAGAAATCTGGTTTATATGAACCAACTTTTATGATCAACTTTACTTCAGGGGCATTGTCTGGTTCTGTAAGTTTATTCTTTTGTTGTTACTATTCTAGAAAAATGGTAATTGTTGCATTAAAACAAAATATTATATAGCATTTCACATATATTCAGAGTGAACTTTTTGAGCTGTCATATTCTTAAACTATCCTCTTTTAAGGAAATAAATGATTAGTCATTATAATAGTTTGTAATTTACTTTGTGTTGATGTTTTTACACTAGGTTTTTACATATTTTGCGTATTACATTATATTTTTTTGAGAAACTTGAATTTCTTAGATTACTACAATTATAATCATTTTATACATGAAAGTATTTTATTGTTCATAGAGCTTTTATAATACATTAGTTCAATAAATGCTAGTAGATATGATTGGGAAATAGTTCTGGAGTATTGTTCCATATGTATAATTGAATTAAATAGAAGGAGAAGCAGTTCCATCCTCTGCTAATTGCTATTTTTTTTTTTGAAACATTTGGCTTACTTAAGCCAAATGCTTAAGAAAAATTGCAGCCAGAAGTAAAGAATCTCAAATGACCCTGTTTGAGTGATAGAAAGTTCACCTTTTCCTATCCATTCATAAAAGGGGAAGTGGTACCCAGTAGAGTTTTTCTAAGCAGATTCATATCACCATGCCCTTGGCCATAGAGTTTTCTTATACACACATACTTGCAAGACGAACTTGTGAGAATTTACAACATGACACTGACATTTTGGAACCACAGAAAAATAGGAGTAATATGATAAAGACCTGCAGAAGCCTATTAGGATAATAGATTGTAAAACCTGAGCTATGGGAGTCACTGCTACTGAGTTCAAAACAGGTGTGAATATTATCAGGGCTAAAATCTTCAAATGAAGCCCCATGGATTGTAAGCCTGTTAAGTCAGTAAAGCAACTGTTGAATAATGACTTTAAGATGTTGTACCAGCTTTACAGTAAAATGAAGGGAGGCTCTCTATTTTACCATTTCTGTTAACATAGAAAGCTTTTTTAACGATATAGAAAATATTGCTGCCTTTTGACAGTTCTGAAATACAGATTTGTTACTCCAACAGAAAAAGCATGTGAGTATGACAGGGTCCTGGCTTTCTGTTAAAAAACAACAGTCTAAACTAAATCATTTAGAAAGTGTCAAAGATACATATATATGACATTGTTGCTACCACACAGTAGCTTGTGGAGATAAACAGTAATTGATTTATCTTACCTGCAATCTTTGCAACTGATTTTAAAACTATAGTCACCAAATTATTGAGGTAAAAATAAAACACAAGTGATTTTAAGGGGCATTTTATAACCATATTGGCCCAAATGTGAATTGGGAAACAGAAAGTAGATACCAGACTTTACATGGCTGTTGATATCAGAATTGTTAAGAACATTTTTAAAGGGACTTGATTATTTTTTGTTAAAAACAATTCTGGATGTGCTCGCTTCGGCAGCACATATACTAAAATTGGAACCATACAGAGTAGATTAGCATGAAAAAAAAACCAATTCTGGACATGGTGGTACACACCTCTAATCTGGCATTCTGGGAGGGTGAGGCGGGAGGATTGCAAGTTCAAGCCTAGCCTGGATAACTTAGACCCTGTCTCAAAAAACTTTTTTTTTTTTTTTTAATGTAAGTAAGACTGGGAATACAGATCAGTGTGAAGTCTCTGGGTTCAATCCAGAGTACCATAAAAACAAATTAAAAAAACTCCCTTACCTAAGGCATTATAGAAATAATTGTTAAAGAATAAATTTGAGAAAAAAATTTTTTAAATGTGATTTTTGAACCAATGTAACTATAATTGATAAATACATTGAATTTTATTAAGAAAAGGTATATAGGCCAGAGATTTAGCTCAGTGGTTCCAGCGCCTGCTGTGCAAGCACAAGGTCTCGAGTTTGATCCCCAGTACCAAAAAAAAAAAAAAGAAAGGTATATAGACCAAGTTCATTTTCTTCATGTACTGAAATTTAATGATTTTAATCTATTTTAAAAACATTTGCTGGAAATTTTTAGATGCTGACTAGATACTGGAGAATTTCTGATTTAAAATATATGTTATACATTCGTGTATGTGAAATAAAGGGGTCATGGAACATACAGGAGCATGGAAACCAGAATATTGGTCTTGCAGTCAGAGGTTTGAGTGGATCTGGCTCAGCCACTGGTAGCTGTGTGATCTTAGTGGAAGAAAAGAGTCTCTGCAACTATTTACATCTGAGTTTTATGAGGAATATTTTCTTTAATGAAACTTTCCTTTGGCTTTTTTTAAACCTCAGTTTAGCTTTGATTATCATTATTATCCTTGTTAAATAATATGCTAATAGAGGAGTTTAAGAATATTTTGGGAAGATTTAAAAGATAGATTTAAATTAATTTTACTTTTGGATAGTTTGCAGCTGTTGCAACTTTGCCATTTGATGTGGTGAAAACACAAAAGCAGACACAACTTTGGACACATGAAAATCATAAAAGTAAGTTTAAACATTTCTAAGATGGCATTTTTGTTTTTCTTTCTAGATACTGTTGGGTATATCTAAATAAGGAAAATAAGATGGTTTTCATTATACCTTATTTTTTCTTTAATAAAACAAATGTGTACTGTTAAAGTGGAATACCCAGAAAAAATAGTCTAACCCTAAACAAATTTAAGAAATTTTCTTTTTTTTTTTTTTGGTACCGGGGATCAAACTCAGGTCCTTGCACTTGTGCAGCAGGCGGCAAAACCACTGAGCTAAATCCCCGGCCCCTAAGAAATTGTAAAGCTTATTTCTTTGTCTTCGGTCTCCTTCAAATGCACATTATTTTTCTTGTGAGTACAGTATTCTTTTAGGTAAACCGGTAAATTAAATGTAGACAAATTAGTGGAATGAATAGGAAATGACTAGGAATCTTTTTCTTCTCTTGTGCTTTTTGTGAGCATGTGTAAATATTTTGTTTGGTTGGTTTTAGTTTTGTTTCTTTTAGTCTGTGTTTTTCCTGGTTTTTCATCTCTTTTTCTTTGTAGCCTGTAATTTCTCTTAGAACAAAGTGCCACTCTTCATTTCTTCTACTAGTTCTCTTCTGTCATCATTTGTTCTCTTTAGAAAGTACAGTAAACCCATGGGAAATTGTCCATTACAACATTGTGTTATGTAAACTTATGATAGCCTACTATAATGCAAATGAATTACCACATTCTATAAAGTAACACTTTGCATAAAATGTACAGTTAGTATTATAATGTTGAAAGAAACATTTATTGTAGGCTCTACAAATGAATCTGATTGATACTGATGACAACCCTGTGTTTGACCTACCAAAAACCTAATTTCCTCTAATATTAGACACTAATGAAAACCTGGGAGGTAATCAGAGATCTTCCTTTTCCCTCTTTAGGTATGAACATTCTAGCTGCCTAAGCCCTATCTGTCCTTCCTTGACAGTTCAGAATTATTTTGTTTGCCATACACAGTGGCACATGTTTGTAACCTTATGTAGTAGGGAGGCTGAAGCAGGAAGATTGCAAGTTCAAGACCGGCCTGGGCAACTTAGCAAGATCTTGTCTTGAATAAAGTATTAAAAACAGGGCTGACAATGTAGTTCAGTGGTAGAGCACTCCTAGGTTCAACCCCCAGTACCACACCTCCCTAAAAAGTTTTATTATTCCTTTTCATCAGAATTTATCTTCCCCGTTAAGAGACCTATTTAATATAGTAGGAATATATTTTTTGGTGTATTAAACAGTTAATGATTATGGAATGTCACATTCTTTTTATTTTCATTCTGTATATTTCATTATTGGTAACACAAGTTTCTTGCAGGCAGCATATTGTTGACTCTTTGTTTTTTAATCCGTTCAGCCAGTCTGTATCTAAAAAGGCCATTTCTGAAGGATATTTTTCTGTAATGTTTCCTTTATTCCATAAGGCTTGGTCACTAATAAAAATAAGGATAACCATCAATGTAAACATTGATTATTGTAGCATTTTCTTATGCAGTTCTCAAAAGCTGAAGAGGGTAATATAAGATTGTTTGCCTACCATCTGTCTGGTCTCAAACCAAGACTTTGAAATTGTCAGCCTATCAGCAGTCATACTGTTTACATGACAGATGCCTGCTTCTTACACTTGTTCTTTTCACCTTATTGCATCTAGTGTACTGTGGGCTAAGCTAGCTGCTTAGAATCAGTGTGTAAAATGATGGTAAGTAAACTTTGTGTACAGTTATTCATAAACTTTATGTTTGAATTTAGTGACTTCTACTTAGGCTATGTTTAAAACTAGTTTTTCCCCCTCCGTAGTTGAGTGGTTGCTAATAACTGAGATGGTATAGTTCAGTTATCTAAACTCTGCCCTCTGAAGGAGACATTATTGTTCTAATTTACTTGTAATAAAGCAGGACACTACTACAAAGAATAACTTAGTTTCCTCAGAACCTCTTTTATAGAAAAAAAAAAAGGGGGTTTTTTAAACTATAGACAATATAAAATAAAAATTAAAAATTGTTATGTTACTTGACTTTTCTTTGGCATTTGGATACCCTACAAAAATTTCTATATGTCGTTTTGACATCATTATGAAAGATTTTTTAATACATAACAAAAAGTGTAAAGAATAATACTAGTAAGTTTTACTATACAGACCTTAATTCCAAAGAAGGTTTCTGGAGTTGGTGATTTAGCTCAGTGGTTTTGCATCCTGCTGCGCAAGTGCAAGGACCCAAGTTCAATCCCTGGTACCAAAAAAAGAAGCTTTCTGTATACCATCCCCTAGTTGTAAATGTAAAGAATAAGCTACTTTACATGAAATCCTTTTTAAAAATGTGTCTATTAAAAATAAGATTCAAAATATCTCTTTAAGTGAATAGATCTGTTCTTAATGAAATCATACATTCCCAAAGCAATGAACACTGTGTATTATCTGTATTAGAAATTATTAAATTGTGATTTTTAATAGCTTTTTTTGTTTGTTTTTAGTTTCTATGCCTTTGCATATGTCAACCTGGGTTATAATGAAGAACATTGTTGCTAAAAATGGATTTTCTGGATTATTTGCAGGTAAAAACATCTGTTTTACTAATCATTGAATAGAATGATTAGTTTTAAATCGATCATCTTGTAAAATTAACTTTCAGAAGAAAATTACAGGTAACATTTTAAATATCTTTGCTATAAATAAAATACCTTTGTTAAAGTAAATATCTTTGCTATAAGTAACTATCTTTGCTCTAAGTAAAAGGAATGCTAGCCAGGTGTGGTGGCACATGCCTGTAATCCCAGCCCTCGGGAGGTTGAGAAAGCACCATCACAGTGTGTTCAAGGCCTGCCTGAAAGTACATAGCAAAATCCTATCTAAGAAAAAAAATGCTAAATAACAGCAGAGTTATTCTCAGTAAAATAAAATTTCCATATCACCTGGAACTCAAGGTGGTTGGGAATAAGAAGTTTGACCTCTCCTTTGCTATCCATTCCATGGTACAGAATTTTATCTATGACTTCATTCAATTTATTCATTACAAGAATGGAGCCAAGTAAGATAAATAGATATAGATTTTTTTTTTGGTACTGGGGATCGAATTTGAGTCCTTGCTCTTGCACAGCAGGCGGCAAAACCACTAAGCTAAATCCCCGGCCCAAGTAAGTTATACTTCGGAAAAATAAGGTAAAATTTGTTCTTTTTCCCCATTCTCTCTTTTAGGTCTGATTCCTCGTTTAATTAAAATTGCTCCTGCTTGTGCCATTATGATCAGTACATATGAATTTGGAAAGGCTTTTTTCCACAGACAAAATCTTCAAAGACAGCAGTTCTAGTGATGCATTTTGAGCCTAAAATAAGAACCTCAAGTTGGAGACTCTTAGGCAAGAGCTTTTCCACTCTTACTCTCTTAAAATGATTTTATGTCTCTCTTTCCTATAGTTTAAATGAACAGCAATTTCTATTCTACCTCTAAATCATAATCTTAGTTTTAAAATAAAAATTTTCTTATTTTGGAGATTTAAAAAATATTCCAGAAATCACGATCATTTCATTTTCTGGTTAAAAGAAATAGTCCTTAGTACCAAGAGCACTGAATTTGATTTCAGTGTAACTTAGTCTCTCAGATAAAAAAAATTTTTGAATTGTGCTTTATAATGTCTAGAAGAAAAATGTTCAGACATTTAAATCATAGACGTAGGTACTTCAGGAAAGGAGATAATAGAAGGCAATCATTTAATAGCACTTGTCACATTTGTTGAATATTACCTCATAATTTCTTTGATTCACATGCATTGGTTTTTCCTTCCACGTTACTGTTTCAAGGACTCGTGTGGATCGCAATTCTCTGATGAAAGGTATATGTATTTTATTTGTATGATACAAAATATAATCATTTGTGTGAGATAGATCTTAACATTTTTGGTGAATAAAAAACCAGTATTTATTGTTCCTGTTAAGAAAGGGAAGTTTTATTGTAGTTAATGTTCAGTCAGACATGGACCTGATGTGGAAACCACACTGCAATTACACTGTGAAAATAAATACTTTGCACAGAAACAGCCTCGGGATTCTAGCCAACTTATGATGCAAGTGATATCCTTCAGAGAATTCTTTAGGTCATTCTATTGATTTTTTTCTAACAGTATGGAAATCATTACAGGTTAAAGTTCTCTAATCTGAAAACCTAAAATCTGAAATGCTTCAAAACCTGAAGCTTTTTTAATATTTACACCATAAGTGGAAAATTCTATACTTGACCTCATCTGATAAGGGTTACAGTCAAAATGCAGGCACACTAAATAATTTGCATTAAATTATCATATATATATAAGAGGTTTATGAAACCATCAGTGAATTTTGTATTTAGACTTGCATCCCTTCCCTAAGATTTCATTATATATATGCAAATATTACAAAATCTGAAAAAATGGAAATTGAAACATTTTTGGTCCCAAGAATTTTGGATAAGAAATACTGAATCTATGATAAAGGTCACAAAATATTTTCAAAATCTCTTCTCGTTTTTACAGTACCTCACATTAATATGACAGGCCAAGAGACTAAACAAGAAGCTGTTTTCTTCAAGAAATTATACATGATTAAAGAATTTAGCTTAAAACAATATGTAGAAATGGGATTTTTAAAAGTATCTGATTGGCTTGGGGATGTAAGTCAGTCAGTGGTAGAGTGTTTGCCTAGCATGAGCAAGGCCTTTGGATCAATCCCTAGCCCTGTGCCCCGCCCCCCCAAAAAAGGGCAGGATGAGATATGGTATTCTTTTTTAATATTTTTGCCTGATTTTTACAGAATCTAACTTATATAAAAAAGAACTTTATTTAGTTTATATTTTATGAAAACATGAAGCATTTCCCTCTCTAAAATATAGTGATATATTTCAGATCTTCTCTAGTGTTGGTAGGGGAATTAATGCATTTTTGTATTGTAGTAGAAAAGTATTTATATGTTTCATCAGAAATAAACTATAGAATTTGTACATAACCGTTTATGTTTATTTTATCCTGTGTTGATTTACCTTAAATTTACAATATACATATCTATATAAATTTAAATATTCATGACTTTGTTATATTTTTATTAAAGTATTTTATGCTTAAAATTATCACTGTGCTTGTAATTAAATGGTTTTCAATAAAATTATTATATAATGCCATAGTCTATATAAGTGAAAATTTATTTTGAATACTGCTATGTGACATTATTAAATTTACCTTTGTTTTGCTATGCTTTTTTCAACAATTTATTGATATTAAAAGGAAGAAATAGTATTGTGTCCTCAAAGTTATGTATTTCAACTAAATGTTACTTATGAATGTCAAAAAGGTTTCTGTTTCCCAAACCCCAGTATTAAACTTGAAGAAAATTCTTAATTATAAATAAGTTAAATAAATCTAATTCCCTAGTGGTTTTTCTATTTCATATTACAAGCAGTATATCTGAATGAATGGAAGACTGAATTGAAATTTTGTGTACTGTCAGTCCCTGACTTAATAAACATTCAAGTTGCAAATATTGCAATTCTTTTAAGTATCAGTTCATACTTACAAGAATTACAATATTTGCAGATCTAGAGAGCATTCTAAGAGGAGAGGAAACAGGGAGGTGGACTGTGGAAACGGGAAGGGTCTGGGAAGGCAGGAGGGCGGGAAGGGGAAGTAATGAATGATTTAGATGGAATATGTGTATGTTCTATTCCCCAAGATGAATGTAATTATGTATCACAAACATAATAAGAAAGGATACTTTAAAATAAAATGTACTGTGATGTTTCTAAAGAAAACAGTTTTGTTAATGTTAAATTTTATAACATTTAACTACTTAGATGTAAAAACTTTAAGAAGAAATATCTTAAACATTCAAATATTGCAACCCTTAACATGGCAAATATTCAACTATTGCAACCCTTAACATGGCTTTTAAAAAGGACTAGGCTTTTAAAAAGTTGGTATGAAGTTAAAATTAATAATTTTTCTCTGCTTAATATTTATTTTGTTTACTTATCTGCATATGGCTCCTTTAAATTCTTCTTTCCTATTTTTCTGGATACAAATGTTAGGGATATGGGTAAATTTAGTGTGTTACTTTTAAACTATTTTCCAAAGTTAACATTTAAAAGGTTATTGTTCTTTTTTTTTTCCATGTAGTTTATTGGTACATTTTAGGTATATAATACAGTTACATTCATCATTGGGATCTTGTATCTTTACATGATGTATCTTGGTTCTTATTTTTTCCCCATTCTCCTGCCCACCATTCAAAGGTTATTGTTCTTAATCTATCAACATTTATTGAGACCTTTTATGTGGCAGGAAGAATCCAAAATCCTGAAGAAGATATTTTTGATCTCAACCACTGGTCACAAGAAGTTTCATAACTATGATTGATAGAAATATGCAGAGGTAATTATGGGAACTCTGAGGAGCTCTTCACTCAGCATGGAGGCATAGAAAGGGTTGTCAAGAAATTTAAGATTAGGATTGACAGAACAATCCAGTTAAACATGGTGGAAGGTAGAAGTCTTAAAAAGTAATGAAGCCGGGGATTTAGCGCAGTGGTTCTGCTGTCTGCCTCGCAAGTGCAAGGTCCCGAGTTCAATCCCCAGTACCAAAAAAAAAAGTAATGGGATTTTTTCCCCCTGTGGCATGAGCAAAGTGCATACATGAGAATGCTGGTGGGAGATCAGATTGGAAATGTAGTCAGAGATCTTGTATGTCAGAGGGAACAAAGCCATAGGAAATCAAGGAAGGATTTTTCACTGAGTTGTAAGTTTGTCTTGGATTTTGGAAAGATAATTAACAGTATTGAAAGTGGGACTTATGAAGCAACCTATTTCAAAACCATGTAAAAGTTTAGGTTTATATTACAGTGTACTTTTAAAATTTACCATAATGACTAAGATAAAATTTTCTCTGCCCCCTCCTATCAGCTGAAAAGTAATGGCTAAAGCTAAATAGATGCTGGCTTTGTCAGAAGAACAAAAAAACTGAACTTTTTTTTTGAGAGCCCTAAGGCTCAAAGCACTCTCATGACACTTCAGAGGTAATGTGGCATGTTAGTTTAGCAAAATACGGACATTTTATCTATTGATACGAACTTGAACAAAGGCCTCTCACAAGGCATAAATTTGAGATAATTTATGATTACTTCAAAATATATATAAATGTAATAAAAATGATGTAAAGAAGAACTGACTTAGTTTGCTTGTTTTTCACATGTCTGCCAAACATCATTAACACTAGCTTGCATTTGTCACTTACCTCTTTTGAACTCGTAAAAGTCAGCAATCAAAATAAGTAGCTTGACAGAGGAATGAAAAAAGCTGCAAGATTATGAAAGGATTCTCACATACTGTTGACTGATAACTATCACAAAAGAATGCCAGAATCACAACCTTCCCCAAAAAATACTTCCAGAAGGACACCTGCCCACCACCTGTCTCCTCAACCTCAGATTCGTGTCATCCTTGTGGCCAAGAATTATTGTTTCAAAATACCTTACACAGTCGTGCTCATGTTCCTTTAAAAACTTTCCTAGGAGAAGCTGAAAGCTTTTCCTCTAAGATGTAGAACAAGACAAGAATGTTCACACTACCATTTCATTTCCTTATTCAATATCATTGCCTGATGTTGGATTAGTTAGGGGTTTTATGTCTTGTTGGTTCAGCTTTGGTAGTTCATATGTATCTAGGCATCTATCCATTTCTTCTGAATTGTACATTTTATCAGAATACAGGTTCTTAAAATATTTATTAATCTGGGTTTTGGCAGAGTCCTTTGTGATTTTGCCTTTATTTCTTTTATTTCCCCCCATTAAGTTTATTGGTACATTTTAGGTATAAAATACAGTTACATTCATCATTGGGATCTTGTACCATTACATGAGTGTCTTGCTTCTTATTT